TCTCTTCTTTGGGCATATGACTAAACCATTCTAGTCGCCCTGAACTGTTTAGATAGCCAAGTTGTATATACTTTTCTGCACTTAATCTTCAAGGTGGGCGTAGGACCGAACCATTCATCTTAGAAACAATGCTCAATCGGCCCATGTTACCTTCAGTTGTACTCTTAGTTATACTCTCTTCAATTTACGATAAGCTATAGTCAGACCATCCAATCTTATGGAACCCATGTCTGACCAGCCTGTTTTTAAATAGAATAATAATAGTAAAGTATAGCGAAATTATAACCTTGGGTTCCAGCATGTGCGGGCTTTGAGTCAAACCCTCTGAACTTACAAAGGAGTCTGCCTCTCCACCTGATTCCTTTCTCTCTGAACCATCATGTTTGTGGCATTGGGCTAGACCACCTGAACTTACAGAACAGTCTGCCTTTTGTCAAGTTCGCTTTCTCAAATAAATGCAGGAAGAGACTGAGCCACCTAAACTTATAGAACAATTCAACCTCCTCGTTCAAAAACCAAAGAAACTGAGAAAACCCAAAAAGAAAACAAGGCAACTCAAAGCACCAAAACTTAATGAATGCCCTGAGCCCCTAAAAATCAACCACAATCAAGCCCTCGCAAGTCAGAGCAGTCAGGCCACCTAAACTTATAAAGCGGTCCAACCCTCCATGCAAACCACAGCACCGGGTCTCCCCAAACTTATGGGGACTTCGCAGCCTCTAGAGTAATCAGACCCCCTAAACTTATAGAAGGGTCTGACTAATCCATGCAAAACCAAAACGAAACAAAGCGCTGGGTTTCCCCAAACTTTATGGGGACCTCCCAGCCCAGTCAAACCTCATGCAATCAACCCTCCATCCTGCCTTCCCCAGATGCGATGTTTTTTAACAGTCCGCTTTCACACAATCAACGAGGCTAAAACTGAAATTGCACAAACATTCCTTTACTTAATCTGGTTTAAGTCCTGAAAGTCAGTCAAAAGTCAAAGTAGGGGTGCACGCAATACGCTCAGCCAATGCATAGAGAGAAGTATAGATATGGGTTATAACTGGGTTTATAGAGGGGAAAGCAATGGTTACCTGTCAATTCCCTGCCTCCAGAACTCCTCCTGAGTTCCGGCAGAGCTCCCGCAATCGGTGGGGTGAGCCTCCCACAGAGGCCTTGGCGCGGATTACGGGTTGCAATCCCGCCTGCCGCCTTCCTCTCAGAACCAATAGACTAGACTTAAAGTGAGAAGGGAAGATAGAGAAAGCTTGAGTCGCTGAGATACAAGAAGGGTGCTCTCAGACTCGCGGGAGAGGGCCTTATAATCTTTTTTCGCCTGAGGGCCCCGCAATGGCGGCCAACTCACAATAGCTCGGTCAAACTTCCAACGTCAAACTGCCAAGGTCACCCTTTTGCTGACCCCTCAGTTTGCAATACCCACCTTCCTCCCCCGACTCAGTCTCCCTTCTAAGTCCAATCGTCGTCGTCCAGCAGATTGCAATAATCATCAAACAGTCGCGGCGGCATGCAGTACTGTAACGTAGCGTGCAGTCACAGGCAGCAGTGTGCAACAACCATCTACCGCACGCCCGCAGTATGCAGACGCAGGCCGTAACTAGCATTCATAGGTAAGTACGCTATCCCCCGACTCCCCTTCGTGCTATCTCCCATAGCAATATGCACAACATACTGCAGAAAAAATGACGACGCCCCAGCAACCTGCAATGATCTGTCCACAGTCAAGCGAACCAGTTGCAGCACTGTGTACCGTCGCCCGGACCACCAGCTGCAATCCCAGTGTAATGATCACCGGTAAACTCTCAAGCCTATGGGACCTCCTCAGTCACTTCGTACGGTAGAGCGCACAGTATAGTAGTCAGCGGCCTCGTGTGTCCTCTCACTTAGCGGGTCTGCTGCTTCTATTGTTTTAGCGAGGTACACAATAGGTGACCAATCATTCCCTCTGCGAAGCTGGCCACTAGGATGTTCCCTGCACGCTGAAGCCTCGTTCGTTAATGAGGTCAACCAGACAAACCACCTCTCCCTATATATTCAGTGCGAACCCGCCCCTAGGCCGAGCCCACTCAATCACCATGCAGATAAAGGCCTCCCACTTCACCACAATCACTTCCCTAGCACCGCAGTAGAAGCCTGTCGATGCCAAAACGACATCAATCAATCTTCTAAACGCACTGCAGCAGTAAGCGCAGATACAAAGGAAACCCCCTCCTTCCCTGGTATCTATGGCCAATAGCACGGCCAGGTCTGCGGATCGTCATCAATAGGATGGACATAACCGGAATGAATCCGCAGCTGAAACGTGGGAATATACACCGCCATCCAGTCTATGCATGTAAGTATCTCAACACCGTTCCCTCCCTCTCGCTCTCTTCTTCCCGCTCGCTATAGATCACTTGCTTAGTCATGCATGCCGCCCCCTTGCTGTGCTAGGAGAATGAATCTTCCCCCGAACTGCGGCCAGATACGTTAACAGTCCGAAAACCGAGTCCTCCCGGGCGCAGCTCCAAATTGCCATACACCCAAACCTACTAATCCAAGGGCCAATCTAACACTACTATCATGCTCTCATCACCTCGAAACCCCGAACTAGCCTATTCCCCCGCTTGTATCTATTCAAAACGAGGCAACTCAATCGTTTTATCTCCTTCTCTTTCGTAGCTCGGCGAGCTAACCTTCTCTACTAACTCCAACTTTACTAACTATCTTCCTAAATTGACTGTATCGTCGGGGTCGCCCGCCCCGAAAACCCCTTATTTGAGCCTTTGTTCGTTCGTTTTCGTCAAGAAACGAACGAGATCCATATTCCCTCCTCCTGTTCTCTTTCACGCCGGCCATAGCTCAGCGCACCACGTTCTTCACTAACCTCCCAACTCACTCACCCACCACTACATCTAACCTCACCCTGCAAGTTGCCCGGGGCCAAAATCCCCGGATCGCCCCTTTCCTCTCTCATTTTCGTTCAGATTCGAGAGAGCCATGCCCTCTCCAACTTCGGTCGGCCTTCTCTCCCCCCCCCCATAGCTTCCTCTTTAAGCGAATCCGGCGCGGAAACGCGCCCGGAGTCATCAGTTTTACTTACCCCCCCTCGCACTACCCCGCTGTTGTTCGTCACTCTGCCAGCGCCTGCGTCCCACACCAACGCTGCTCCTTCGCGTGCACCTGGCCCAACCCGCATCCAGGTTCGCTCCCATCCCCCCCCCTCCTGCTGCCTGCTGCCACCATACTCCTCGCTGCGCTATTGCTCCGCTCGCCACTACCGGGCCAAACTCACCGCCCGCTGCTACGTAGCGCTACCCAGCCGCTCCCCGTCTGCATTTGGGCACAATCCTATCTTCCGCTACGCACATCCGCACTACCTCTACTCCCTGCGCTCACTAACGCTCCACTTTCCTGCTGCCGGGCCAGCCCCTCCGTTTTTGCATGTACCTGGCCCAGGCTTGCGCACGCATTCACCCCCGCTACTGTACCTCATGGTGCGAGCGCTCGTGGCCAACTGTCAGCCTAATGCTACCGGCTCCGCTCATCCTTCTCCCGACCCCCGGAGTTATCGTAGCACCCGGTAGTGACCGGTCTCTACTGCCAACGACTCGGCAAGCCGTCCAGCAGCTCCGATCGTCCTGAAAGGAACTCCGGAGGGGACCAGCAAATAGGCAGCCCAATAGCCGTTTTGCTCCTGAGCCCAAGTCCGACATGCGATTGGCACGGTACTGCTGCAAGCCGCAGCCCTAGTGCCCTTGGCCCAGTGGCTTACGCTCCCTGCACTTCTGTTGTGCCGCTACACTCCCCGGCCTCCGTTGTGCCTAGTCTCTGGCCTGCCCTGCCCATCCTTACCCCTTCTCCTCCAAGCAAGGCCCGCCATCCCTTTGGCCTTGCCGCGGGTAACCCTACTCAGGCCCCCCATAACAAGCCACCGAGCCGGGGCGTGGGTCCTGTGGGCGCCCAAGCGCGGGCCCAAGTGAAATGGCCCGACGCGGGTCTTTACGGTAGTAGCAACCATTCAAATAAGGATTTTGGAGTCCGCGGTGCTCGTCGCACCGCGGTCAATTCGTGGTTGGCGGACGACGACAAGAATAAAATAAAAAAAAATATCTAGACAAATCTTAATCGTCAAAGGACGTCAGACGAGAAAAAGGAAAAACGCTAGCACCGTCTCGACGTCGCTGACGACAAAACCAAAGGGGGATAGCCCCGCTGGGCCCTCAACCCCTTGGCCCCCTTTACACTGCTCTGATACCCCCGCACCGTCGCCGCTCGATCTCGATCCCTGAATCTCTTTGACGAAAGTCTGACGTTATAACCAATAGCGCTAGGCCCAAGTCTGGGTTTAGCTCTGACCAACGTCTAAATAAGCGGACATAGCGCGACGCGCCGACCTACCGAACCTCTTTCAGAAGTCACATTGTTGTCAATGCCGTCCTTCGCACGTACGCATAGGTCAGAGGTAAGCCCATCAGTCAACGAGACATAATCTTTTTAATCCCTGCTTTAATCAGAAGATAAAAATATGGTCGGCGATCACGCTGACTCTCTAATCATCAACAATAAAAAAGATCACGCGCGCCTCAAGTCTGCGCGCCCACATACTCTTTACTCTAGGCAACCATCAACCACATAGACAGCGAACCCTGCCGCAACTCGCGCGGTATATTTAATTTTTAAACCAAAGCTATTTCCTGCCGTTTGCAAAAACCAGGGCGGATACCCTTGTAAGGGTATTCGCGCCTACAGCGAGGAATAAATATATGATTCGCATGATGTTTCGACTTCTGATCTGAATACACTCCCATCGGCACCCATGGCAACAACGTATGTGGCGGTTGAGAACACCGTAGCGATTTTTGGAAATGTTAGCAGTGTTGAACCGTTCGGCATTGGTGGTCGAGATCCGTGTAAGCATTGTGGTGCCAAATTGTGGCATCATGAAAGAAAATAGACAAAGATATGTTGCTGAAAAGGTACAAAACGTTGTCCTTTGTGGGAATGGTCTTGCGAAGGCTCCCCGGAGCATGAGATTCTTTCCCTTTGGACGTCTCAAACTTTCGATGGTCGATTCCTTCGAAACAATGTGAGGATAATTAATAATAGTTTATCCCTCGCTTCCTCACGGTTGAAGCAGCCGAGCGATGGTGTTCGAGGATTCCAGGGCCAACTTAGGGCTCAAGGTCCAATCTTTCATCGTGTCGGTGCATTGGCTGTGGGGGAAGGGAAACGTCCTCAGTTTGCGCAACTATACTTGCACGATCCTCAACGTTTGGACGATGCGATTGACCAAAGGCTAAATTTCCTTAACTTACCTGCACGTACATCCGATGACGAACTTGATCGAGCGAAACACATATTGAGAAGGTTTCACGAATTGCTACAACAATGTAACAATTACGTGAAGGACTTTATGACGGTTGCTCACCTTCCGCCGAAAGTGTTGAACGGGAGGAAGTTGGTGATAAATCCAGATGTCATGCCTGATGAGGAACATGCAAGGCGTTATAACCGTCCTATGGGTTTACATGAGGTGTGTGTTCTGATTGTCGATGAACTCCTTCCTCGTGAGCTTGAGATTCGTTTGCATGCTCCTCTTCCGGGTGAGCGGCAGACCGTTGTGGTTCCAGAATGTTCTCGAGTGCACGACTGCTTAAGGTTTGTTTTACTTTTCCCAAAGGGAATTGATAGTTGGTCTGTCCGACGTGCCATAGAAGTTGGATGACTGTTAGGACTTAGTGTCAAGGAGTACTATGCATTTCACCTTCACGAGGGCGATGGTGAAAGACCTTGCCTCCTTTATGCAACGCTTCTCTTCCACGAGTTTTGTTGCATGTACGCTAAAGTTGAATCCCTCCGCTTAAAATGGGTGAGATTCCACCAAAAAGAATTGCGCTCGGAGTATTATCAGGATTTACGAGACGTTGTGCAACAAAATCAACGTAGTGAGGGTGTTGGGACAAAAGTGGTTTTACTGTCAACGTTCACTGGGGAGCCCCGAGATATGAGTGAAAGATATCATGACAGCATGACAATTGTGAGGCGATTCGGAAAACCGGATTTTTTCATCACTATGACGTGCAGCACTAACTGGCCGGAGACCAAACAAGCCCTGTTGCCCGGTCAATATCCTAACGACAAACCGGATCTTCGTGCGGGAGTGTTCAAAGGTTATCTTGCACAGCTGATTGATGAGATAAAGAACAAACGGATCTTTGGTAGGGTGAATGGAATGTTGTATGTGGTGGAGTTTCAAAACAGGGGTTTACCACACACACATATATTGGTTATCCTGCATCTGGATGATAAAATTCAGGATGCAGATGTTGTTGACAATGTGGTGTGTGTCGAGATTCCTCCGGAAGGGGAATGAGAGAAAGAGTGGCCAAGTTCATGTTGCACGGGATTTGCGGTGCGGAGAAATGCGACGCTTCGTGTACGGAGGATGGAGAATGCACAAAAGGATTTCCGAAAGATATCATTTCAACAACAACATTCAAAGACGAACAAACGTACCCTTCACATAGGAGAAGGAAACCAAGTGACGGTGGTTTTACGATTGTTCAAAATGGTGTCGTTTACGACAATCGGTGTGTGGTCCCGTATAACCCGTACTTGCTAACGAGGTTTAATTGTCACTTGAATGTTGAATATTGTGTTAACATCAAGGCGTGCAAGTACGTGTATAAGTATGTGTATAAAGGGTGCGATCGTGCTATGGTTTGCGAGAAAGATAATAATGCGCTCATTGACGAGGTCACATTGTATCAAGATATGCGAGTTGTAGGTGCATGCGAAGCATGCTGGCATCTATTTGAGTTCGACGTTGCAGAACAATGACCCGCGGTGGAAAGATTGTCCGTGCATCTCGAAAACATGCAAAAAGTGCAATTCGAATATGGGACTGAGCATGACGTTGTTTCAAATGGGCCCCCGAAAATGAAATTGACGGCATGGATGAAACACAACTCTTTGAACTGACGTGTTCCTAAAGAGGAGCTTCCTCCTTACGCAGAAATCGTTAATACTCATGTGTGGGATAACAAGCATAAGAAGTGAAACCGAAGAAAGCGTGGCGTTCACGGTGGTCCCTTTGAAAAGATATCTCGGTTGCATCACGTGAGGATCATGGAAGGGGAACGATTCTATCTGTGTGTGTTGCTAAACCATGAACATTCTCGTGGGGTGTGCTCTTTTGCTGAAATTCGTACTGTGGACGGAGTCGAATACGATTCGTTCCGATCTGTGTGTCTTCGATTGGGCCTTTTGCAAACAGACAATGCATACGATCAATGCATTACATGCCTGTAGAAATTCGTAAAATATTTGCTATGGTTCTTGCGTTTGGTCCGTTTCTTCGAACGACATTGGGATAAGATGTGTGACGATTTTCAGTATCGCGCAGACAATGAAATTGTTCTGCTGAACATTTTGCAATCCTTAGTGTTGTTCCACCTTGACCGTATTTTGCAAGAGTTTGGAAAAAAATCCATCAGTTTTGTCGTTATTATCGAACACCCGATGGGGAAACGATTGCTGAGAACATAACCAGACATTACGAGAATAGAAATGTATCCTCGATTCTAAACGACGAGTTGTCGTATGATCCGATTCAAATTCAACGCAAATATGAGTTCAATTTTCGATGTTTTCATCCACGTCAACGAGTGTTGGTGGAAAGAGTCGTTCGGGTTGTGCAAGAGAAAAGACCGTTGCGTGTTTTTGTCGATGCACCGGCTGGAACAAGGAAGACTTTTTGCATCAGGACGCGTTCTGTCATTACACTGGTTGTCACATCCAGTGGCATAGTGGCGACTCTTTTGACGGAGGGTCGAACGTTTCACTCACGATTTCCCGCACCTTTAAAACCGGATAACACGCGTCCCTTCTTGATTGCGAAATAAAGTGATCTCGCGGAGCTTATCTGCCGTGCCGACTTGATTGTTTGGGACGAGGCTCCGATGAGTAACAAGTTTCACTTGGAAGCTCTTGACATCACGCTTCGGGACCTCTGTAACAATAACGAACCGTTTGGTGGAAAAATTATACTTCTAGTTGGGGATTTCAGATAGGTTTTGCCCATTGTGAAACACGGATCGCGAGCGCAACAAATTGATGCGTCCATGAAAATGTCTCCTTTGTGGAAATTTTTTGAGGTTCATCAACTAACCGAAAATATGTGAATACTAAGCTTAGGGAATGATGAAATGGCACGAATGTATGCTCACTTTTTTATGCGTATTGGGAATGGTGACCATCCTCGTGTTGTTCCTAATGAACCTGCTGCGATCAGATTGCCACGTGAGATTTGCACGGATAAACCAATTGATGAGTTTATTTCATGGACGTTTGATGATGTGTAAAACCATGTGGGGGATGCTGAGTATTTCTTGCCTCGATTAATTCTATGTCACACTAATGACGATGCCGGTTCTGTTAACAACCGTGTTCTTGATAACTTCCCTGGGAAGGTGTGTGACCTTTTCAGCGTTGATTTTCCTGATTCAGATGATACCAGGTTTGGTATTGAGCAAGAGTTCTTAAACTCTCTCGACGAATCTGACCTTCCACCTCACAAGCTGCGCTTAAAAATTGGTGCATCTGTGATGCTTTTGCGAAATTTGTCACTGAAGCAAGGACTTTGCATCGGTACAAGGTTGATTTTGAAGAGGATCGTTAATGATGATTTGTTGGAAGTGGCAATAATGTACACGGGTAAAACAACATTGATCCCCAAGATTGATCTGACAAGCGATGGGGAGACAAATGGGTTCAAATGGTTTGGGAGGCAATTTTCAGTCCATCTTGCTTTTGTTGTAACGATTAACAAGTCGCAAGGACAAACCGTATCGCGTGTCAGGGTTTGGCTACGCAAACCGGTTTTTGCGCATGGCCAACTGTATGTTGCTTTGTCACGTGTTGGCCATCCCAACAACATCCGTGTTGCGTTGCCTGATAACAATTTTTTAACGAAGAACATTGTATATCATGAACTTTTGGGATGAGTCTTTTTTTTTCCATCGAGCCATGACATTCCAAATAAGTCTATCATATTCTTTCTTTGCAAGTGACTCCTGAATGCCGCATAAGTACGACACTCGTGCTAAGAGGAAAGCAATGGGAAACAACAATACCACTCAATATGATATGAATGTTACATCAAAATTTGGAGCCGAACATTCGGAGAGGTCGAAGAAAAGTGGAAATGATGAGAGGTCTGTGAACCTTAGAAGTGAACATCCTCAGGACGATCATCATGTTCTTGGTGAGGTTGAACGTCGATGTTCGCAAGGGAATACCCTTGATGATGCTGAGAACATGGTTGTGGAGGGAGGTGGTGACGATTGTCGTGCCGATGGGGATGGTTCACGTAGAGGTCAGTCGGGTGGGCCTCTTAACCTTACATTTGCCGATGATGAGGATGATACCGTTACGGGCGATTCAAAAGAAGACTATGTTGAATCTACTTTCAAGAGGAAAAAGAGTCGTGATGCGAAAACTAATCATTTGGATTCCCCCGAAGTGGCGGAGCCTACCTTGGCTGATAATCTGGTGGGACGACAACCTGTTGTTGATGAAACGAGAACTCAGATTGTAAGAGCGTTGAATGCGCTCCCTAATGATGCACTTTTATCTCTTCCGTTTGTGCACCGCTTGCTGGGCATGCACGTGTTCATGATTCGTCTTTGCAATCTCAACGCAGTGGACATGGAAGACATGTTTGCGCCACATCGCAACCACAAAATCATTCGGGGGTTATTGTGGTGCCCGATGATAACGATGCACCCACAATTCGCACTCAAAACTGCGCGCTTACCTTGCTAGATGGTTTGACGATGCGAAGAAGGTTGGCATCCAAAATGTCTTGACTGAGGTGCTTTTGAAAATGTTTGTCAAAAGTGTCACAGTTGTGAAAGATAGACGAATATGGAAAAACTTTCTGGAGTGGAAAATAAACAAACTCACTAACATGCGGTTGGAACGACGACTCTCTTCATTTAGACCCGTTGAATGTTTCGGATTTGGAGGCTTCTTCCATGTTGAAATCACTTTTGAACGATGAGTTCATCGCTCTGTCTAATGAGGAGATTACTAGGATGACATTTGATTTGCCGCATTGTCCGACAAATGGGACCATTCTCCAAGCCTTTCACAAATATGCACGGATACAACAGTTTCTCAAAAGGATTCCTCCTGTGGTTGCTTCTTCCACTCCTCATTCCGCTCCGGTCCGTAGACTCCCCATTCAAGCAGCATCTCCTCCAAATTTTCAACGTCATGCGGATTATGCTTCACCCTCTAATATGTGAACGCCGATTATCACTACTTCTGTTGTTGTTTCTGCTTTGCCGGCCGTTACGGCTACTCCATCTCCTGTCAGTTGTGTTGTGCCCGCTCATACGTCATCAAGAGACCATCTGCATGTCCATACAGGACCATTGGAATAATTAAATTCTTCTAATTTTAACATTACCATGTACGACTCTGTTGAATCTATTGGTCCGAAAAAGACACTTGTACACCTGTCCTATCTTGACAATTCTCGCAGGGTGCAAGATATTGTGGAAGCAAGAGCGGAATCGAATACGAGTATGAACACTTGGAGATGTGTGGATGTTGCAATTCATCTCGATTACAATCGGCAAAGACAGGCTCGATCGAAACTTTCGAGGAGTATCGTTGCAAAGTGTTGCAACGAGTTTCTGTTCGTGAGGTGTTGCAAGAGTATCGCTCCGGTGAAGGAAGTTGATTGGTCTTATAAGAGAGATAGGAAGACAAAGATGTTGATTGGGCGGTTGTCCAGACGTTGCCTTAGTGACAAATTCTTAGATGGTCGTCTTCGGTTTCAATTACGTAATTGCCCCTACAAGAGAGATGGGAAGGGAAAGATAAACAAATAAGGGGGAAAGGAGATAGATAGATAGATAGATAGATAGATAGATAGATAGATAGATAGATAGATAGAGAGAGAGA